CAGGAGGCTGCTCAAGATGAAATGTAGCAAGGAAGTGGCCCAGATGCTCCCTTGCTTGTCTTAGAGTTTTAGAGTACAGAGAAGTCCCCAAAATACTTTTAAGAGCCCAGGGCTTTACATCAGGTTTACCTGTTTGTTTCTGGAGCTAAACGGGAGTATTATAGACATACAGTAGGGTTGTGCCTCCAAAATGTTTAGGGCATGTGTGACATTATTCGTCTCAGCTATAACAGATCTATTGAATCAACTGCTGAATGGTGATTCAACATTCATGTAAATTCCATTGATTCAATGGATCCCTCCTAACTGGGATTACCAATTGGATCCAAGTTCTTTAGTCTAATAAGTGTACTATGCAAATCTATAATTTAGAGCCCATCTCCCTCCTAACTGGGATTACCAATTGGATCCAAGTTCTTTAGTCTATGGAAATCTATAATTTAGAGCCCATCATGTTAATTTTCCACATTCAAGCACATTACTGAAAAAAGAATTTTAGGTAAAGCAAACAGTAAATTGCTGCATCAGAATGCATTGTTACTGTTCTGGAAAAGGAAGAGGAACACTGTTATTTGTCTTCAATAAAGCTTACATCATTTTCTTTGTGATGGAAAATTATTAGTGATATACGTAGGCAAGTGGCTAAACAACACATGGGACACAGCTGAAAGTTAAGGACACAGATGTCCTTAGATCTCAACAAGGTAGACACTTAGGCCTGTTACAATCAAATTGGATAAAAGCACCTTTCTCAATCAAATGTACATTGTACAGTTAAATTCTAAAACTGATTGAATTAATTCAAGATAGCAATAAGCTTTAGTTGTCCATTAAGAATAAATATTACAGGACTTACGCGGCCATACTGAAATGAAATAGAGTTTCCAAAGAAGATAGATCAGAATTCAATTCGTTAAGAAGAAACCAACTTCTCTTTACATATTACAGCTGCCGTGGTGGAATTTTTTTTTTATCTATTAGCCCTCAATCTAAATATTCATTTTGCTATTGATCCAGCTGATGAATTCTAGGACTGAAATGAATGAACTGAAGCAAAAATCAGGGAAGAAAGTGCAAACAGATCACATACAGTGGTGCCTAGAATTATGAACTTAATCCATTCCAGAAGACGGTCGCAACTCGAAATGGTTGTTAAGTCAAAGCACCATTTCCCATAGGAATGCACTGAAATGCAATTAATCCATTTCTGCCCCCATAGGAAAATCACACACACACCCAAAACCCCACTGCAAGACCCATTGGAAATGCGATTAATCCGTTCCAGCTGAAGGGAAAAAAAGCAAGCAAACCATGCAAGCCCCATTGGAAATGGGGGGGACCCCAAAATCAAACAAACCCAAGACCCATTGGAAATGGGGGGAAACCCCAAGAGCAAACAACCCCCCAAGCTCCATTGGAAAGGGGGGGACCCAACAAACAAACCCCACAAGACCCATCACAGCATAGAAACATAATCCCACCACCCAGCCCCACATCACGCTGCAAAACCTACCCAGAACAGTTTTTAAAAAGCAGAAAGCAGTTTTTAAAAAGCAGAAAGCAGAAACCAGGTAGTCCGAAGCCTCCTCCGACCACACTCACTCTAATCATTGGGGCAAAAGAGCTACAAAGAAGCAGCCTCTTTGCCTACCAATGGTTAGTAATTTGAATTCCTGGCTTTTTTCTGTTCGTAACTGGAAGCTTCAGCCGCAAGTCAAATCAAAATTTTGCGGCCGGAGCTGGTCGTAACTCAAAATGGTTGTATGTCGGGATGTTTAAAGTCAAGGCACCACTGTACTTTGTTTCTACTTGATTTGTGGTTTCATTGTGTTTTTGTAGTAGCCACACTAGCCAGTTTTTAGTAGGCACCACTCTGTCCTGTACACTGAGAACACTGTCTTTAGAGTGACAGACTCTAAGAATAATTTATGTAGTATGTTGTGTAAAGTCTAAAGATCTAACCAATGTCAAAACCCCACTAATGTCAACAGCTACAAAAAGGTTTTAACTGTGCATCACTGCTCAGCACAGCAATATTGCTGTTGGAGCCTTCACATCATATTTAACTATTATGCAAGTCTTAGTCCAGCCATGAATTACTTAGTGGCTTTGGATAACCTGTGTTTTCCCAACCTCAGGATGTGGCTATCTAAAGAACAGCAGGAGCTTGTTAGTAACATCTCAAAGAGTCATGACAAGCATTTTATATTTAACTCCTACATGTCATTTGGCCAGTGAAATTCAACTCATTAAATAAAATAATTAACTAACCAAATCTTTTGGGTTAGCTAGTTTCTACTTACTTGGCTTTGCATATGAAACAAAGAGTGAAACTAAGTAAATAAAGACATTTTAGAAAATGTAACTAGGTAACTGAATCCTCCCTCCTGCTCACAGGGCACTACTAAAGATTTAGTCATGTGAATGGATCCATAGTACTTGCAGTGAGGAGCAGTACTGGTGACAGAATACTGTACTAAAGTTCACCGTTATATTACAGAACATGAAAACTTTATGATGGAAATGCTGCATTCTAGCCCACATCTTTACTCTGGATACAAATTCTTGTAGGTACGCCCAGAAACCTGGGGGTACAAAGTATGGCTATTTTGACACCTCACCCCCACTTGCGATAAAGCTTAGAAAACATGCATGTGTCAGTTGTAGTATGTCACGTATCACGGGAGGATGGTACTGAGGAAAATAAAAAAAAATCCTTGGCCACACAGAATGGCGTTTTGAAATGGTTAGAATCCTAGGCAGTATTTTCATGAATGAAACGTCCACGAAATATGAATGAGGCCTGACAAAATTACAGTACTAGCAAAGCAAAGCAAGTATATACCACCCCAGAATGCTTTAAAGCACTCTCTGGGCAGTTTACAATTATTCTGATGCAGGCTACACATTGCTCCCCCACCCACATGAGCTGGGTACTCAGGTAGACTTACCTTGGAAGTATGAAAGGCTGAGTCAACATCAAGCTGGCTACCTGAGCCCATCAGGATCAAACTCAGGTTGTGAGTAGTTTTTTAACCACTGTGCCATGAGGCCCAACAGTTATTAACCACCATATGGTACGAGGAGCACAGAGAAATTGGTAATGAAGATTATATCACTTGATGTGGCAACAAAGTACTTTGTTATATGAGCCTTACTAGTTAGACCGCATCGTTATGTGACTGTACCTTTTCAGTTGGAAAAGAGAAAAGCCATGTAGTCTTTGTACACAATCCAAAGGAAAAATTGGGGTAATACCTTTATCAGACCCTTAAAATCTCACAAACAGATGCTAGTTTTTGCCTCTGCACAAGTCTTCATGAGGTTGGGCATTACAAAATTGGGGCTACCAATTCTACTCAGAGGTGGCAGGGCTTAGATTTCACCTCCAATCATGTGGATTACAATGATGTTTTACAAAGAGCTGCCAATCATGAAACACCTAGTAATGAAGAGTTTGGTAGGCTTTACTAATTAAAGGCACCAGAAAATATATTACCTACACCATGGCAAGGACTGCCTAGATTAAACAGGGGCAATCTGGGGGCTTACAGGTGCAGTGGTGCCTTGCTTGATGAGGATAATCTGTTCCAGTGAAATCGTCGTTAAGCGAGGGAAAAAACCCCCATTGAAAACCAGTTCAGTGCGTTCCAATGGGTGAAATACCTCAGCGTCCAGCGAAGATCCTCCATAGGGCGGCCATTTTCCAATCCCTGTTAAGCGAAAGATCCATCCTAAAAGCAGCGGGGAGCCATTTTGCACAGTGGGTGGCCATTTTGAAACCCGACGATCAGCTGTTTTTAAATCATCGTAATGCAAAGAATCGGTTCCCGAAGCAGGGAACCAATCATCGTCAAACGAAAATCGCCCTTTGAAACATCGTTTAGCGATTGCAACAGCAATCGCAAAAACATTGTCGTGAAGTGATTTCGTCGTTTAACAAGGTAATCATAAAGCGGGGCACCACTGTATTTGAATTTACAATTCCTATGATCCCCGATCATTAGCCATATTGGTTGGCAATGATGAGAGATGTAGTCCAACACATTTGAAGGGTGCCAGTTTGTATTGTTCCCCAATTTAAAAAGGTGATGGGAATACATGTAGAAGTACTGGACAAAGATGTGAAATGTGAATATGAAAGCTGGGGAGTGTATGGTACTGGAGACTAGAGGAAGAAAGGGATAGGTGAAACAGAGTGAAAAAAGTAATGGCCATCTTGGGGAAAGGCAAGTTAATTTTCTCAACTGATGCACACAGTGCTTCAATAAAATCAAGCTATTAATCTTGAAGAAGAAAAAATATTTCACAGGGCTGTGGCAACAAGGATGCAAACTGGTGCACTGGTACTCCACATTTCTTCCCTGAATGTTACACTTACTGAACTTGCTAGTTCTTTTCTTTCTATATAAAGCAGCATTGCTCAGAAAATGGTGTACCTAGTACAGAGAGAAAGAAGAGATGACTTAAAATCAGCTGCTAAGTTTTAAAACTGGTGTAAGAAATAGAAACATATGCTTATCACTTGTATACAAATACTGCACTTACCTAGGGAACACTTCTGCGCTTCTGCTAACAAGTTTCTGACTACAAATCCACACAGGACCCAAGGATGGAACAAGGTGTATGCTCTTTGTGTGGATATCAGAGAAGAGATGAAGAGTGTGTTTCTCATGTACCCTACATCCTTACAGGCTTTTTTCCCTACCTCCCAGTGATCAGTGATAGGCACTACCGGAAAAAAATAAGTGAATGCAGCTGTAGAAAGCAGCCCATGACACGGATTAACTCCTAGGATGGAAGACAATAAAAAAGCATCCCATTGCTTGCTAGAAGAAACGGAAAGTTTGTGCAGATTTGAATACACAAATGTAACAAAATAAGGGAAACAGACTGCAGCAAGCCCTTTTGTAACAAGTAACAGGTATGTTCTGAAGAATAGTAATACTACAAAAGAAATAACACCAACAGCAAAATTGCATTCAAGGCTCAGGCAAGAGTGTAATAAGGAATGATTTAAGTTGTACTTGATAAACATTTTACATTAAGACTGAAACAAAACCATTTTAGAATTTGAATCTATTTCAACATATAATACATAATTATACAATCCATATAAGCGATGATAAGTTACTTTAAGTACTTCATCTATATAAACACAAAAAGCAGTGGAAAGTGTGCAAAAAAGATGCTTCAGAACAGTGAATTATAAAAGGCTATGACAAGAAAGAATTGTACATTTAGTAACTAATGATTAAGGGAAAAATAAACATACAATCCACTAGAATAAGGTGACATTTCCACAGTTCAGATGGAAACACACATAATCCAGACTGGCCTTAAGTCTCTCTTCAAAAAGAGATCAGTCAAAAGCTTCTTTTAGACTATATACAGGAAGTGTTGCAAAGGCACTTTTTGAATTTAAGGCAAGAAAAGGTATGTTTTTATATGAAGTTAAAAATGGAATGAATGGGGCTAAGCCCTGCTTTCTTAGCAAGTCTTCTTTACAGTGCTAAAATGTACATTAAAAGCTTCAGACTAAGAGGGCCTTTCTCTGTAGTGTTTCCGAACATACAGTGGGAAGATTTAACTTTTTAAAAGGTATTTGCTGCAACTCCACATATCAGCCAATCACTGATTGTGTGGATGCCGTTCAAAAGCCCTGTGTAGTTACTCTAAAATATTTATTCTTTAAACACCATTACATGAAAAAGAATCTTGAGAGAACTTTTAATACATTTATATAAAATACCAGATGTTGATACAAATTATGAGTATCTCCCTTTGGAAAATTTTTCATCTAGGCACCACAATTACCAGAGATCACAAACATCTTTGTCAGTGCAAATCTATATTTCCCTATTCAAGAAAGCCACCCACCCACAGATACAAAACATTGTTTCTGAAGTGGCAAATTACATCTGGGTACATCCACCCACCCTCCCAAATTACTACATTATCAAGGGGAAAGAAATTAAAGCTGCTTCTGCAAGTATTATTATAAACAGTCCTTCTTATTAAGTTCCTTGATTCTCATTAAGTGTACAAGATCCTGGGTTGATTGAGGGATCTTCGGGCCTGTTTCCATTACTGATCTTCAAGCCAGGATGGAGCATCAACTCCAGGCGTTTTCAATTTGATATGGAATAGTTTAAGCGTCTGTTCAAGCTGTTTTTGATTTCCTGAGAAGTATGCTGCGATGGCATTGTGGAACAGAACAAGCTGATTGTGCAATACTTTGACCTGCAAACAAGGGTAAAATTGATCAATGTAATCAAATTAAAGACAGAAATATGAAACATAATATTGATGCTACTGCACCAGAGGTGAATCTGTAGTCTTTTTTTTGATTTGACCAAAACTCGTAAAAATGAAAATATTCATCATAAATCGCATAAGGCAGATTTCAAGTAACTGTAGCTGAGATAGTCCTGAGAAGTATGATGGACTAGGCAGTTTACTGCTATATTTAAGAACATAGGAAGAGCCCTGCTGGATCAGGCCAAGGGCCCATCTAGTCCAGCTTCCTGTATCTCACAGTGGCCCCACCAGATGCCTCCGGGAGCATACAAGGCAACTAAACACCTGTCCCCTGGAGATTATATATTTCCATCATGAGATGGACTTTTCCTCCAGAAATCTGTCCAATCCCCTCATGAAGGCATCCAGGCCAGATGCCATCACCACATCCTGTGGCAAGGAGTTTCACAGGCTAACAACATGCTAGGTCAAGAAATCTTTTCTCACTCTCCCAACATTCAATTTGAGTGGATGTCCCCTGGTTCTAGTATTGTGTGTGAGAAAACAGCTTCCCTCTATCTTTATGTCTCAATCATGCGCCCCCTCAGGTGCCTTTTCTCTAGACTAAAGAGCCCCAAATGTTGTAGCCTTTCCTCACAAGGGAGATGCCCCAGCCCAGTAATCATTTTAGTCACTCTCCACTGTACCTTTTCCAGTTCCACTATGTCTTTTTGGGGGTGCGGCAACCAGAACTGTATGCAATGCTCCCAGTGTGGCCTTACCAGTATTTTGTACAATGACAATATAATGCTGGCTGTTTTATTTTCAATCCCCTTTTTAATGATACATAGCATGGAATTGGCCTTCTTCACTGCTGCTGGACACCGGGTTGACACTTTCATCAAGTTGTCCACCAGCACACCAAGATCTCTTTCCTGATCCATCAAGGACAGCTCAGAACCCATCAGCTGATAAAGTTTTGATTTTTTGCCCCAATGTGCAACTCGTTCTTTCTAACGAGTTTCCTCATCTGAGGGAAGTCCACCCTTCAGAAAGCAAGGGTTTTTGTGTCAGAGTTGCTTGACACTCTCCCCCATCATGTATGGCGAAAGAGATCGCAGCATGGTCACCATTCAATAGGGGCTCAGTGACATTCATGTCCCGAACCAGGTCCTGAGTACCACACAATATTAAATCCAGAGTTACCTGTCCCTCTTGGACACCTCTCTGATTTGTCTCCTCAATCAAGATCCCCCTCAAGCTTTTATTCTGGAGGACGATAGCAACCCCCCCATCACACCGCTCCTTGGGGCTGGTAGTTTAACCCACAGTGATTCTATGATGGAGTCACACCTGCCATCCATTTCCATTCTGCTGGATTCTACCCCTTCTTTGACATAGATGGCTACCCCACCTCCAACACGCCCCTTTCTATCCTTCCTATAGAGTTTATAGCCTGGGACTGTGGTATCCTATTGGTTCTCTGAATTCTACCAGGTTTCTGTTATGGCCACTATATCAATGTTATTCCTAGCCACCAAATGTTCCAGCTCTCCCACCTTTCTTCAAACACTTTGTGCATTTGCATAAAAGCACCTGCGTATAGGGTCACCCAAGAAGGGCTGCTTGTTTGTTACCTTTTCCCCCACAGCTTCTTATTCCATGTCCCTTCATGCTCCCAGTCCTAATTCCTACACTGTCCTCACTTTGTGGTTCTCTACCCTCTCCACTCTCATTCCACAGGGATGAGGAGTCCTGAACGGGACACTACTCAGCTCCTGTTGTCTTTCCCCCAGAATTCAGTTTAAAAGGTGCTCTGCCACCTTTTTAATGCTGTGCACCAGCAGTCTGGTTCCATGTTTATTCAAGTAAAGCCCATCCCTCTTGTACAGGCCTGGCTTGTCCCAAAACGTTCCCCAATGCCTAATGAATCTAAACCCCTCCCCTTGACACCACAGTCTCATCCATGTGTTGAGACCCCTGAGCTCCATCTGCCTAGATCACAGGTAGCACTTCCGAGAATACTATCCTTGAGGTCCTGGCTTTAAGCTTCCTTCCTAACAACCTAAATTTGGCCTCCAGGACCTTGTGGCTACATTTCCCCACATTGTTGGTGCCAACATGCACCACCACTGCTACCTCATTCCCAGCACTCCCTACCGGCCTATCCAGACGAGACGTGATGTCCACAACCTTTGCATATTTAAGTCAAAACTAGAAACCTGAATGTGTTTAAGCCATTATAGACCAAGGCAGCCTCTGGAAATTACATCCAACAGCTTCCAACAAATCACTATCATCCAGGGTAGGCCAAACACTCTATAACTACAGATTAAATAGACTCTTCCATTCACAGTGGCATAGAGCACATCTTTCAACTGATGTTACAAATAGACCAGTGATTGGTACAGTATACAAATGAGAAAGATGGAGGTGAGGAACGGGAATACAGCTTGCTACTGAAAAGCATCTCAGCCAACATTCCAGTGGATATAGACAAATCATTAAGGAGGAAGAAAAGATACCTCCAAGTTATAAACAGTAGAATGAATTGTAGCCCATGGCGTGCAGAACACAGGACCTGCTGACGTTTTCACTTCTTGAATGCAATGTAAAACCTTGGCAAAACAAATCTGAGGATCATATACAGAGGGGCAAATGTTGCATCCTATTACATGCATCCTTTTGATCTATGGTTGGCCAATACGTATGTAAGTAAATTTAGCTGTATAACTATTATTGAGCAGTCATGATTTCATGTCAACTGGAGAATCAACAAATAAAAATCAAGTAAACATGTAATCAGTATTTGGGTCTAGTTAACCAGCTCTCAAATCTGTATGCCATCATTTCACCAAGTAACTCTGTATTCTATCAACCAATTCCTGTGATGTAAGATCAGGCTGAAAGTTACATCCTCCCACTACCAGTGTGCTTCATAAATAGACCCAACACGTAAGTGCAAGATCAATTGTCATGTATTAATAAAATATTGCAAAGCAAAAAGCAAAACAAACAAACAAAGTGTGCTGCTTATATACCGCCCCATAGCACTTCAAGCACTCTATGGGCAGTTTACAAGTTAATTATGCAGGCTACACATTGCCCCCCCCCCCCGGTGAGCTGAGTACTCATTTTACCGACCTCGGAAGGATAGGAGGCTGAGTCACCCTTGAGCCACTAACTAGGATTGAACCCCAGGTCGTGAGCACAATTTTGGCTGCAGCACATCGGTTTAACCACTGCACCACGAGACTTTACATCTGATAAAATAAACCATGAACATCTTCTCAACTTCACAGCAGGATTAACAATAGAATCTAGCAGCACAGCAGCACCAATAACATCAGATGAAAAGGCTGTATAAGATAGTAGTATGGAAAATATGCAGAAGCTAAGATGTAAGTTTAGGTTTAATTAAAAAAAAGCCGAAAGAAAAAAATTGCTTAGAAAAATAGAAGATCTTAATGCTTCAATGTCAAGCCTATTTATTTGGATTTAGGCTGCATGGCAGTGGTTCCCAAACATTTTGGAGTCATGGCTACCTTTATTAAAAGACAAATGGCCTTGGTGCCCCATGCTCAGAGGGGCCATCAGGGGCCTCACTGCTACCAGGGGCAGGATCTTGACATTCCCCCTGCCATCCCACCTCCTCCCTGCACTCTGAATATCTCCAAGGGAATACCTTCTTCCAGGTCCTGAAGGAGGAAACTCCTGAGGTGAGGCCATCCAGCAAGGGCCTCCACTGGGGACCATAGAGACAGGAAAAGGAAAAGGAGGCACACAGTCTCCACTTCCAGTTCCTGTTTGACACAGAGAGACTTATCTGCCGAGGTTGCTCAGGTCATATAGCTTCAATAACAGAAAGAAAGCCTGCATTCTCCTGCTTTCCTCTTCCCTTTCATAGTGTTTTTAAAGACTCCAAGAATGCAATCAAGAACTGCCTTTTTTTCTAAACTGTGTACAACACTTCATAAATTTTATGAACTTTATAAACAATGTGATTGTTAGCAGCAGCTCGCACACATAATTTTAGATCTCTATCAGACAGTTCTGAGACTACATCATTCACCCAGAAAAAGCCAAACAAGACCAAAGCAAAAGCCAAGAAGAATCTATTACAGGTCAGAAATTACAAAATATCACCTGATGTCAACTACAGATTCATGCTCAAACCACTTGAACATTAGCTCTCAGAAGCCTCAGGTGGTAACCTTGCCTTTGCTTACATATACTCAGTCCATTAACCTAACACAACTACTTGACATCAACAGACCACTTAAGTGGCTCATAAACCCTGAAAGTGCATGGTAAATCATTCCAAAATGGCAATTTACCCCCAATATTTACTTTAGCAACAGTATAATGAGACCGAATAATGGCACCAACAATGTCAGGGATTCATATTCCAGTGAAGTACATACTTATGATTTGTAAACAATGCTTCTCTACATGTGACAAGCAGGTCAGATTCTACACAAAAGAACAGATACTTCTGACATCAAAAAGGAAAAGTTTGAGAAACCAATGTGAGCACCGTCCAGAACAGTGGTTCTTAACCTTGGGTTACTCAGGTGTTTTCGAACTGCAACCCCCAGAAACCCCAGCCAGCAAAGCTGGTGGTGAAGACTTCTGGGAGTTGTAGTCCAAAAAACACCTGAGTAACTCAAGGTTAAGAACCACTGGTCTAGAAAAAAGGTTTCCAACCTTGGGTCCTCAGATGTTCTTGGACTAAAACTCCCAGAAATCCTGGTCAGCACAACTAGTGGTGAAACAGTTTTAGTCTAAGAAAATCTGGGGACCCAAGATTGGGGACCACTGATCTAGGACATGATTAACTGACCTTCATTCTTGTACAAAGATTCTTCAAAAGGAGCCTGTGTCTCTGCAATGTCGAAATGGAGGTTGCTGATGTGATGGCATAATAGTAGAATAAACGGATGCTGCCGATGACGAGCATGAAGAGTGAATTCCGTCATATACAGTGGTGCCTTGACAGTTTT